GAGGCTGACTTTGACGGTGCTCGTTGAATGCAGGGTTTGAAATGAAGTCCATTCGAGGTTGCGCGAAGTGTAGGAGCCGTCCCGAACCCCTCGGTTGACCGCCCTGGCCCTTCTCGACTCCGCCGCTCTATGCAACGTACTACTACTACTACTGTGCCGTTATAGTCTTGACTAGAGTCGCGAGTCTCTGGCTGCGCTCCTAGCGCTCACTACCGTGCATATACACACACGCTTTATAGCGAACGGTATCGTACAAGTCGTATTCCGCATCTTGTTCGCTAATGCACCGTCCACGCAGCTATTCGTGTGGGGGGTAACGTCCCTCCCATCGCCCGTGTCTCGTCAACCTATTTCTTGTCATCATCGTCAATCGACGCCATCGTGGCACGTAGGCAGATTGATAGGTTGGCCGGGGTACACGATGTGTGAGACACGTCTGCAGACCTGCCTTGTGATTCGTAACACTCGAAGACTGCTCGCTGGATAGGGGACCGAGATGATACGCACCGACGCTACCATCATGGCGGTCATCATCATTTCGCATATCTCGATAATCGGTACTGCTTCGAATACCATCCCAGTGCCCCGTCAGGATCGCAACTTGCGCGCGGAGAGGTGTGCGTGGACGCCGCGACGCTCGTGCGTCTCATGCCCGATGAGACATACACAAGCGCAACAACCCCTTGACTTCTGCAATGCATTTGCCTTCACCACTCACATCGTCGCGCTTCCTCCCATCGTGTGTACACCAAAGCTACACTCACACCTTTTAAAGAAGGTCTAAGACTTGCTGGGCTGCATCCCAACCTTGCAGTGTGAACGTAAACGACCGCCGTGATGTAGGGCTCCTGTGCTCACCCAAGACTCATCAGCAGCAACCACTTGGAAGAAGCCCCTCGCGACTTCGCAGAGCATGACACACTCCGCCAGGATCCGCTCTGCAACGGGTAATGTACTCATGACTTTGCGTGCACATTACCGAGATTGCTTCCGCCTTGTACGACTGCCGCTTGCTGCACATGGTCTCTATCCTTAGCGCGACCACTCCTTTAGACTCGTAGCCCGCACAGCGGACTCCGGAAGCAAAACACCGCGTCCCCACACATATAGTCCGCCATCGGCTCGGCATAGCGATGATCAAGGCTCTCGAAGCATAGCATGTCTCTTTGCGAAGGCGAGAAGGAGTCGTCGACCGCCATGGCCGCGATTGACGACTACTGATGAGTGAAGTTGACAGACATTCACAAACTCGGTCTTACCATCCGGAGTCACAACTCACACAACCGATAATGCGCTGCAGCACGCGCGTTGGATGACGTTAGCGATTTGTCCAGACAAGAGCAGCAAATCGGCTTTAAAGTCTGCTTGCTAGCCTCAGTCAGACGAAAGAGCAACTCGGGAGCGAGCTCACGTCCTCAAAAGCATTAAGAATCGCGACGCAAAGGCAATTTAAGCTGAAGCTTTGAAGCCCCGACGGACTGCATACACGCCAAGAGACACCAGGCGGCTGGCGACTATGGGCAAACGCTCGCCAGATTTGTCCCGCATGCCTAGCACGCCCGTCCACAACGGATCACAGTACGTCTTTCCGTACGCTGAAGGTGAACGATCCGTGTGTGTGTCAAGTGTGCGTGTTCGAGCCGAGTGAGCACATGAGTGACCAAGGATTGCAGGGAGCGATATCCACAGTCAAACGTCAACATAAAGAACACTACAAAAAGCCGACTAGGGATGTAGATAGGCAAGTGGCTTCGCTTGGCGATTGCGAGACTGCGCACTGTCTCTCTGTTCCTGTCTCCCTTCCGTCTGAGTGAACCCTGGGGCAAGCGGGACGAACATAGCAGGGTCTCGAAACGATCGATCATCGGGTTTCTCATGCCGCGGTGGGCCTTGGCGGCCCGCGAAAGGTGGACGGACGATACGTTGCACGAAGGTCGACATGTACAGTCCGAGTACTGCTTGATTTTTGAGTGATTGCGAAGGGTCAAAATGTGTGCAGAGTCAGCAGTAGTAGTACAGTAAATAACAGTGGTGAGTGCTAATGTACTGTACCACAGGCCAGGTTGACGGGAAATGAGGCGGCGCGGAGCGCAGAGCGCCGTATAATGACACACTCATCAAACTGAAACGTTCGATGGCCGATGCCGCGACGTCGCTACCAGGTACAGCAACTGAACTCGCTACTCCGCGGCACGTTGCAGCTGCAGTGTACTGCATCAGCCGCGCGCACAAGGTTATCGGCCGCGGCAACAAGCGCACGCACTTGACTGTTCATGAATGACAGCTCGGGACGTCAGCAAGTGACGAGCGACGAGTACCTACAGTAGTACCCTTACCGCCACAGAGCACAGAGGTGTAAGCGTGTGTGTGTGTGTGCTGCAGCGGGATACGTTGCCCAGCTAGCTCTCGCAAGCTTTTCCGTCGGCCAGCCTTCCGCAATCACAATCCCGTCGCCTCGCCTCGCATCGCATCGCATCGC